TTAAATACTAAACCATTTTTTTTTTTAATTCTTTCACATAGAACATAGGCTACTTTTTACCGCGATAACAGACATACACTGTGAAATATTTATTTAACACATTTAGTTGAATGGAGAGCTTTGGACGTAACTCTTTCGCATGAAGAAAATATCATTACTCACTTTTACAAGTAACATGGTAAGTAATATTAGTACAAGGGAAATGGTTAAAGAGGTGGACCACCAAACAAGCCTTCTTGTCTGTTTGGTGCGTAATTAATTTCTGGTAACATAAAATTACACAGACATCGATATTAGAGCTGTCAACAAGATTACACGAGTATAACAAACTTATAATTGAAATGGTCGAAAATTCTTTTTTTTTTTTGTTAATTTACGTGCGAATAATTTAACATTTAACGTTAGGTAATTAGTTAGTTAAAATCAAAACTATTAATGTATAAAAGAGCTAACTCTAATATGCTAACTCACTGGTATTTTACAATTAGTATATACATATATGTAACAATACGCCCATATACGAGTATATATAATGTGGAATAATAAAAAACACGCTTTAATGGCAGACCAATTTAAAAAAAAAAAGACTTCCAATATCCTATTAGCTACATCATCAGACTATCATCACCAAATCCAATCTGTTGGACTCTACAAAAAGAGTCCAGAGTTAAAACTCGAGAGATTTATCGGTAGCAACTAAGGAGCACCACAATGGACCTCCTGAATTTATCACGGATCAGCTTCAAGTTCACAAATTTAGTATTTTTATCTATTAAATGTATTTTTATTGTAATTAAATGGTATTGTGTAAATACCGTGGGAGAGCCACGCTTCGACACAAATGAACAGAGGACCAATCGCGAGTTTATTTCACTTCTACTTGATCGTCACGGTGACCATAGGAGTGATACTTCGACCTCACTAAGAATTGCTTTTCACCGAGTGAGTGAGGTTACCGAAACCCAAACACCCCTGACACTAATTCTGGGTGAAGTATTCAAAATGCACTTGTGACTCCTGAGTTGCAGGTGTCTAAGGGTGGAGACCCTGGACACCTGCAACTCAGTCCCTTACCATCAAGTGACCCGTCTGCTCGTTTGAAACCTATATCATGATAAAAATAACATACAAACAATGCAAACATACAAATATTTTCATGAATTATCATATTTTGTTTGGAAATTAATTTTATTGTTATCGGATACAAATAAATAAAATTTAAGTGTCTGTGTGTAATGTCAAAATAATAGGTATTTTTCATGCTTACACGGTTATTTGTACGATGCCTATGCCTAAAAACCAGTTTATTTATTTTTGTCTGTCTGTCTGTTTGTTCCGGGTAACCTTTCCGTTCCGGCTGAAGCGATTTTGCTAATATTTTACTACCAGGTAGCTGTCCATGTAAGGAGTAACTTAGGCTATTTTTTCCTCTCAGAAAAACCATACAAAATTTTGCCCGCTCCGGGAATCGAAATCACTAACACAGCGCTTTTCAAATTCCACGTAAACGGAGTCGCGGGCACCAGCTAGTCAAACAATAAAATTAACTTCCAAAATGTGTTTACGCGATTACAATAACACACACGAGTTAGAAAAAACAGTGAGCCACAGTAACAAAATTATATATTTTTATAAAGATAGAAAGCGATAGTCGAACAAACGAAAATAAAAGGATAAGTTGGTAAATGTTTTACTTATTTATAACTGTACGTGGAGTATCTGTGACATATGATCTTTACTACTCGAGATAATAAAGAAATAATGTATGATGTAACTACAGTTACTATCTCAGTCAAAATATGTAATTTAAGTACACTCATCTATTGAATTTAGTGGATATTGTTTTAATTTAATATTAAGGTAAAAATGAAATCATTTTTACTTTAAAGATCCATCGTGATGCAACTTAGCAAAAAAAGTTTTTTCTTGTTAAGATTCAAGAAAAAAAAACTTCAATAAGCGTTTTTAAGCCTTTAATGACAATTATGTTATCAGAGGCTTAAAAACGCATTTACAAAGGTTAAAGAGTGAATTGAAATTGTTTTGAAATCGGTATTGTTTATAGCGGGAACGACGCATTCAATTTTATACATATAAGGCCGTTAAGTTATTATTTAAAATGAATAAGGTATACCAACAAAACAAGCAGGTTTTTTTTTCCGAGTCGATTTCACGGATTTGGTAAAAACCAGTGAGTCTTCTCCACTGTTTTAAAGCTTGTCATAAACTTGTTAGTCCATTCAGCCTTGAGATGTAGACACAAATACGGGACCCCTATTATAGTGTGTGTGACAATTTAAGAACGTCAGAAAATAACTATTGTACATATCTCTATATTTGCAAATAGTACAAATGTGTAGTTTCATTTTGATCATATAAATTAATGTTAGTTTATGACAATTAATAATCAGACAAGACGTGTGGTTGTTTTAAATCCCAAATTGGGCAACTTATAATACCTTTGTAAAACACCGCTCATATGTATTGTGTGGTGGATATTTCCGTGTGGTGACAGATTAAGAATACGGAGTTTCACCACCCCTATTTATCCCGTGGGTGTCGTAAGAGCCGACTAAGGGAGCACACGCAGGTGAACATCACTGCACAGAGAAGGAAAACTTGACACAAACCCTATACCGACCCGTCTGGCCAGCGTAGGATAGCAGACCAAAACCTCCTTGCTTAGGAGAGGCCTATGTCCAGCAGTGGACTCTTAAATATTAAACGCTGTTGATAAGATGCATATATAAATAGGTATCGTAACGGCTAGAGCCATGAAATTATGATTGTGTATTCGATCCCCACTCAGTGCAATATTAAGGTGAATCCACCCCACCACAAGCATTCAGCTTACTTGGATTAACAATAATACTAGTAATATGGGGCCAACGTTATTAATATTCCCTATTTTATTAGGTGTCCGTGTGGTGACGGATTAAGAATACAGTGTCACTATCCTTATTACCCCGTGGGTGTGTATGAGCCGAGTAAGAGAGCAAACAACGCAGGACAACAGCACAGCAAAGAGAAGGAAAACTTGAAACAAACCCTACACCAACCCGTCTGGATAGCCAAGAGTCTGGAAGCCTATGTCCAGCCAATGGACCATTAAAAGTTGTTGATGATTTTATTTATGAAAAAAAAAATACAATGCTTACGACTATTTAGCTACGCGCTTATATGAGTATCTTATGAGGATTTTATTGTATACTTTACATGAATTCTGGGATCTTACGCTGCCATAAAGAATGAATAAATGAAAAGAGAAACAGAGTGAATATTAATACTTTATAAGTATTTAACACTAACTATTGGTCACGGCTTCGCACGAGTGATAATTCCTTATAACGTATTTCTAACTTTGAAAAAGACGAACTTCCATACAACCGTTCATTCCTTATTTTACCCTGTTAGGGGTGAAATTTTCTAAAATCCTCTGTTAGCAAGTAATTGCATACATACATATATGTATAGATAACTAAGGTACTCTTGAACAAGATCTGTCAGTACAAACACATTTCAACCCGTTCTGCACGATACTTGTCCAGGATAAATTGCATATAATGTGAAAAAAAATAGCGACCGTTGCATGGCGGCCTGTTATTAGCTATCCAAGTACACCTGCTGTTGAAGTCTAATATTAAGTGTGGATAACCGTATCTGAGGAGCAGTAACTACACATTAATGTTTGTATGTAAACTGTTATGGGGTTAACTGACAGGTTTTTAGTTGTATGTTCGGATTTAAACATCCTATAGATTCGCAGAAACTACAAGCACGTTATTATGATAACATAATATAACATTGTTAATGAGAACGTAGATTAACGTAAAAAAAAAAGGTACGGCCGTTTATGCCGCAAAAAACGCATACGTATAGTTTTCAGATTTTCCTTACACTTGTAGTATAAGACGGTATTACTTGCCAAATATTTTAGTTCTAGGTCAACGGAAAATACCCTATAAATTTTGATTCCCTTGAGAGTGTCGAAACGACTTTTTAAATTAAATAAGAAGTTTGATTTATTCACAGCTTCAAGAGACTGTAGACCTGAGTATATCATTTAAATTTCAACTCGATACCTCCACGCGTTCCTGAGATAAGGGGTCTTGACAGACAGTCAGACAGACAGACGGACGGATGGACGGACGGACAACAAAGTAATCCTGTAAGGGTTTCGTTTTTTCCCCTTTGAGGACCGGAATCCTAAAAAGGTTAAATTTAGATCACCCCGTTTTTAAATGAACTAGATTAGAAAAAAGTTCGTAAGACAGGCAATACATAATGCTACCATCCTTTATCTTTATGGCTGGCTACCTTTATGTACATTGTAAACTTAATTTGATGAGATTTTGATGAAAGCCTGTCGAACAACCGCTTTTTTCAACGTAATTACTTTTTGTTTGCCAAAAACTGGGACCTATTATCGCACGAAACTGGTTGTCTGGCTCAATAACATTGACCTTGAAGAAGAAATTACTGATAAAAAATAAAAAGAACGAATTAGTTGCATGCCGTTGCCATGGGAAGGGTGGATAAAACAGAAAATCTTTTTTCTTTTCAGAACGTGACCTGTTCTTAATTCAAAAGTTGAAAAAATGAAGTACTTTGTGCCTATAAACCAAACCAGACGTTGTGGTTTTAATAAATTTCGAAAGAGACGCATGAGATATAGTTCCCATCTGTGGTTTACTCAAATAACAATACTGTTTTACTCAATTGCCCAATCTATTATGTAATTGTCGTTTTTTAAATAACTAATTTTCATCAGTAATAATTATTTGATATGATCATAATAAAAAAAAATACACATAAAAGAACTAAAAAATATATTAAAGCCAATTTTTGAAAATCGGTCCACTGTGAAAACGATTCTAAAGTTAAAAACCGGAAACAAAAATAGACGATAAACCAAGTCGTTTATAATTTTAAAAAAAAGCAGCCACGTTAATTAAGCGATAAAAAAAGTAAAATCTTAATACAAAAAAAAAAATACATACAACAAAATATGCCCAAGTAGATGCCAGCCACCGCAACAGCAATTTGAACAACATCGTTTAACGTATCTTGATCAAACTTCTTCAGCAAATCACTCATGATGTAGGCTTTCACTGGTCTCGCGTCGCACTGTGTCTCCACCATCTTCGGCACAGGTCTTTTAGATAAAAATAAAACTATAACCCTCCGCCCGATAAACTAATTTGTATACAGACGTTGTATGCTCGAAAAAAATAAATAAAAAAATTATGGCACGATGATTAAGATTGACGTGATGTCTCGACTGTGAGTGCTACAGGAATGAAAGCAGCGCGGTTTACTTGCTGACCCTAACACTTTATTATTATTACACTATCTAATTAAAAGATAGCAAAGTTGATAGATGTAACTTTGTTTATATTTGTAATTTATTTATTACGAAGCGGTGTAAAATTTAGTTTTTTAGCTTTACGGGCCAGAACCCGTTACCCCTGTTCGCTCCCAGACGGACTGGCTGAAAGTAACATGTTTTTATGCTATAATTCTTTGTAGATCTCATGGCGTGCCGATACAGAGAAGAATCGCCGCCACTCCATTTTAAGGTTTTTACCTTTTAATTGTTTCAATGCTTTTGTGTGTGTTGATCTATGACTTTAGAGTCTACATGGAAGACGATTTCAAACAATTTTGGAAATTTTATGAAATAAAGAAAGTTTGAGTTTGAGTTCTATGAATTAGTGCATATGATTCTAAATTACTTTATATTAATGGACAATATTTATTATAACTTAATAGACTCGGTGTGTTATAGGTATTACGATTTTTTAACATCATGTTTATGACTTCTTTTAGTAATGATCTAGACTTAAAAAAGTAATTACGTAAGTATATATTTTCGAATTCGAAAGCTTGTTTTTTTTTTATTTAAACCTTATTCTTAAACTATAAGTTTAGGTATATATATTGATGTACCTAAGTAAGTACTGCGCTATCAAATTTAATGAGCAATACATAAAATTTATAACAATAAGCAATAAGCAACTTTTTTTGGTATACTGTGATCGAGACCGACATGAAGATGGTGACGTTTTTGACGTTTGTGTGACAATGACGTAGCTCTTGTTGTTTATGGTACGGTTTTATTAGTATTTTGAACTTAAACTGTACTGCTGTTGTAACCATTAGTACAGGTACATCCATTTATCCGATTTTTTGTGGAATAGGTAGCATGGTGACTGACACCTGGCACTCAAAAGATACAAGTGCGTTACGCCCTTTGAGGGAAGGCCCTCATTCCTCCCCTCCCCGCCCTCGTCATTAGCTGGGAGAAAAGATTCTGTTGCCTCATTCACTCGGTGAAAAGCATCGCTTACGCGATGCTTTTCTACTCACACATTACATTTACTAATAGTACAAAGAAGTAGAAGTTCTTCTTCTAGATGTAGGGAGTAATCTATGAAATTATTTATTTACCCCTTTCAGATAGTTAGTTCACAAACAATCCTCTTTGTGAAATAATAATAAACAACATGTAAGTGATGCAATATATCTATAGCACCAGGGGGTGATATAGCTTCTTGTTTTATTGCAACACGTTTAAATTGCGAACCCGAGCTTAGTCATCGTAAGTAAATTACGCTTATGGTACACATATTTTGAGTCTCAATTGCTAAAGGGGCAGTGGTTGTTAAGTTAGCAGTACATTCACTCTATCCATAGTAATACTCAGGTTATTATGAATATTGACAACCAGACCAGTGACAACAATAACATAGCAACTGTTTTTAGCTATCGTGGCAGAAGTTTTCTTGCCAAAACAAGGTAAAGAGAAAAGAAAAAAATACGATATAAAGTAATACAATGCTGAGTTAAAAAAAAAGTGCCGGTAACTGTGATAAGCTAAACTTAAAATAAGTACGGTTATGAGCAATGCAGTTGAATCACATTATATTCAGATCGGACAAGTGATTAGGGAAATGTAGAGGCGAAAGCGCAAATACGAACTTCGCTACGTTCAACTGTTTCTATTGTCATGATCAGCACTTTTCAGTAATTTCTTAAAAGGTTACATAATGCTGCTGGTTCCAGGCTCTAACTATGCCCTAGTTAGGTGCGGCGTCGATTTGGGGGGACCAAATCACATGGCCTCCGGGTTCTCCCTACAGCAGGGCGCCTAAAGGTAGCCGTCAGGGTGGTTTTTAGGCCCGGCGACCAAGAGCACTTGAGACCAGCGAAGCGGTTTTCAACTACAGTTTCAGCACACAATACAATTAGTCCCCACAGATTTTCAAAGGCAGTCTACAAACACCTGCTGTCGCTAATCATCACGCAATCAATCTACAATCGCCGCTTTGATGTTGATAAAAAGTCTGAATTCGTAAATACACATAAAAAAACTGATACTGATGATTACTTATATTTTTCTTAACAAAGGAATATGTCGCAACGCAACCCACACGCACCAGATTCGGAAAAATGTATAAAATTATTTTTGTTTCAGTGAACTGAACCAACAACCTTCAGGGCAAGCGGTCAAAGCTGCTGCTCCGGCGCAGAGATATAAATGTTCATTAGTGATTATCAGGACTTGAAGTCGTGATTCTCTTTTGTATCGCACGCAGTTTACTCGTGGAAGGAATTTTTCTTTTGGCGACCTGAATAACAAAAGTGTGACAGGGCGTTCGTTCGAAGGCGTACCCGGCGCGGAAGAAAGAGAATCCTAACATTTCACGGCAGTTATGTGTATTTTATTTATGTGTATGATATTATTTAAATGTTATGTTACTAGCTGAAATAAGCATGCGTATATGTGTGAAATGGCCCGGGCTGAGTCCGTCCGACCAAGTCCTTAAAATTTAGAAGTTTACAGGAAAGAATTGCACGGTTAAAATGTTCCCAGCCAAACACCAAAAATGACTTATGATCTGTAAGACAGGAGTACGGTTTCTTTTATTTTTACAGGTATAGGTTATGTTGCTCAATTTCTCCATCAACTGCTATAAAGTGATGGCCGTGAGGGACCTACGATTAAAAACTGTTATTTACGACAATTCAAAGCAGAACATTAATCTTTATATCATAAAATAACTAGCAGTTCGACCCGGCATTGCACGGGTGTAAATACATCATTTTTAAATAATTCTTAAGGTAAATTTATTTGGTGACTTGGTTAAAACTCTTTTGTACTTCAGTGAAAGAAACTTAATTAGGATATTGTTATGTATATAAACCTTAAACCTATTACTTGCTGCCAAACAAGCAATTGCTTATATTGCTATTATAAATAATAATAAGAACAGGGTCATGTTTTTTATTCCTAATTAAATCCTGTGAGTATTTTTGTAGTTAGTTACTTGTATTTTGTGTATAGTGACCTAACAAATTACAACTAAACATATACAGGGGCACATTCGATTTAGCCAAAATCTTTAATCACCCCTTCTTCTTCACAAAACAATAAAAAATGATGCTACTTGGTCGACCACTAAGCAGATCATTTAATCCAGGAACTAAGCAGGAAAATACCGCCCTTATGTTATCTTAAATTCAAATTATATACAGTTAAAAATAAATTGGTTACTGCATTAAAGGAACAAAATCGATCTAAGTGGCGTGCAATGGGAGAGGCCTATGTCATGTCCAGCAGTGGACTGCGATAGGCTGATGATGATGATGATTATTAAAGGCACAGGCTGTTTCGACGCTGATCTTCTTGATCGCACTCACTTGATTACACTCGTCAATCCATCTGTATATACAATATAAGGGATTTTGTACATACAGATGGATTGACGAATGTTTGTGTCCTTCCATTGTTTTCTCTTCCTACCTCCCTTCCCCTTCTCTTTTAATATATTTTCCCTTTTTCCCATCTTATATTACCAAAGTGGCCAATTGATTGAATAGGATTGCCCTCTATTACGTGATTGTGAACAAATTATAGTTAAAAAACTATGTGTTTTTAAAACGACTCCGACTACTGTTTCAAGGACATTTAATAAATAAAATAAAAACAAGTGTGTAGTTAACACTTATTCATATAATCAAAGTTCAGACTTTGCACTTCCTGCGGAGGTCATCGGTACGCGCTATAAATATATATAATAATATGTGCAGTCGCTAGTACACCTGTAGCCAGCGGTTCAGTTGTATGCTTGTGCTTTTCAACATGTAGTTGCGGCTTCCAACTGGTGAAGCCGAAAAGAGAAACCGTAGGAAAACCCCATCAGAACCTGGTCAGGAGGTACTTTATAAAGGAATTTGATATTAAAAACATGAACAGAAACTAAAAGACCCTTAGAAAGAAGGCTGGAGTGAGAGCTGGATGCAATAGAGATGGCCTGTTCGCAGAGGCGGTAGATAAAAGAATTGCAGAGTACCTAGTAGATTTTCGTGGTGCTCAATGACTAGTGGTGTGAAGGGATGAGGAAAATGAGTTCTGTATGAAGAAGAAAATAAGTTGTTGAGGAAAAATCAGTGAAATAATGAAGGATAGAGTCTTGAAATAACTTTTAAACTATCGCGTTCCATAATATAATACTTATGTTTACGGGAATTAACGCGATACGATAGGTACATGCTTTTGCTTTTTACAAGAATTGCCTGACGTTTCGACTAGCTGTGGCGGCCTAAGCATTTGCGAGGCCCCGGACAGGTATTGTAGGCGAAGCCCTTGTCTTTGGGAATTAGTTTAATGATGATACTTGGAACAACAAATGCAATGTAACAAATACTGCTGCTCGAACATGAAGCATAAGCCATAAGAATACTCACTACAATTGACACCGGAAATCTGTCAAAATGACTGGCAAAATTAAACACGGAGAATTTCCGAACATACCTAAATCTCTGAAATAAACATTTTTCTACTTGGGTTGGTGTGCTAGTTTGCGAGACTCCTGCAAGAGCGAGGCCCAGGGCGGTTGCCCTGCTCGCCATCCAAAGGCCGCCCCTGTCGACCAGGTAGCACTGGCGGTGGTCACAGCTTTTATATCAATATACATATATCTATTCCGCTATAGTGTTAACCTAGTTTACTATTAAACACACATAATTTTATACACTATTTACAATCTACAAATATTTAGTGTTCATTACTAAATTATCCTTGCTCTATGCAGAAATGATATAATAATAATAGTAATTTGATGTTGATGAAGTTATAAGGTGTGATCACATTGAAGAAAGGTTAACATAAACTTGATATTCAAGCAAATTAGGTGGGACTTATTTTTCCTGTACTCACATATACTCGCAACAGGAAAGCGGAGTCCTCGCTCGCTCCATTCGACCACGCAATAATATTAGATTATAGATGATTAATTTTTAATGATCTTGTTTTGGAGATATCTTTGATCATAGCATTAGTAGTTTTAACGAAAAACTATCTGAACTAACTGACCAACTTTACTAAGGTGCATAAATGAATATCGGTTACTTCTGCAAGTCTTACGCCAGCTTTCAGCAAACAGGTGAATACCCATCATCTAATCATTTATCCGACTTAATCAATTGTGTTATTGAAAAATACATAAATGTTTTCAGAGAATTATGCACGATCGAACCCAAAACACTCAGCGCATTAGTAAGCAGCGTGTCAACCACTTAAACTACTACAGCATCCGTGCAGTTATTATAATAACTTACTTCTTTTTCTTATAGCCTAGGGGACAAACGGTCATAAGTGGCTACTTACTTAATTACATTGTCACCTTTTAGGTTCCCTCCCCCCCAAAAGCAGAGTAAGGGGAGGTTAACCTCATTTAGTGAAGAGCAAACCAAGCTTGTACCTTTTTATTACCTGTGTTACTTATTGCCAAAAAAGCTAATATAATAGGCTAGTTGACTCAATTTGAAAACTTGGTGTTCGCTGTCATGTGACTTAATGCCTATATTTTTTTTTTTTAAATATTAATAATCTTTAACTTTTATGAGAACTAGACTGGTTTTTTCTTATCTATGTCTCTTCATTTATAATTTGAAACTATAAACCAAGCAATTTGTTATTAGTGGACACAAGCCTATTATATGAATCCATGCACCATCCCATGAAATCATCAAAGAAAAGTTTTAAATGACAACTTGATAAATGGTTGGAAAAGTAAAACCCACTGGACTAAACAACAGGCTTCGGCGCTTCTCGAAGGAGCTTGGTTGGCTCATCTAGCCAACCTGTCCTAAAGGACCATTCTTGAGTGTACATGTGGAAACCGGAGCCCATAACCAATACCAAATAAACAACCGTTTAATCATATACAAGCAAACTCTTACATCACAAACCTGCTCGAGTCCAGTGATGTGTGAATAATAATATTATGAACTTCATTACTAGTCATCTAGTCATCACTCAATGGATGTTAAGTAATTAATGTACGAAAGTAAATAAACCCAAATTTACATTTTTTAATAATAGTTAGTATAATGCTTTCTAAATTAATATTTATGCTTAAGGTTTAAATTAATATGTAAAGAATAAATATTTCCATGATTCATAACATTGCGTCATAATGGACTTTGTGTATGTAAATGTTATATTTTGCATGAAAAAAATCCTTGTTATCCTCCTAGATGAAAAGTATTTATTTTAGAAAAAATCGATGCTAATACAGAGTTTAATTAAATTATAACAAGTTTTTTTCAAGAATGTGTTAAATTCTTTATCAAATTCAGTAATTATATATTTAATACATATAATTATCCTTTACTCCATGGTAAGGGAAATGTGTTTCTCTTTTGTAGAACGATTTAAAAATAGTTGTTAAAAGTTAGTTAACTTTTCATCAACTTTGATTTGAGAACAAAAAGCTGGTAATAAAGGCATTTAAACCGGTTATTTATTCCTTTCTAACCAGTAACTAACAGAGCAAACCTCTGTATGTGCTATTAAAGTTTATAAGGAAGAGAGATAAATATGTAAACACTTAAGGTCAAAAATATTTACAATTCCACTCACCTATAATATCATAAATACTCGCCGTGTAATTGTCCATAAAATATGAAAGAAACCCCATTTTTGTAAACAGCTGATCACAGTCTTTATAAACAACACTTATCTTCACGTTCACCTACTCTAACACGCCATGGAAATAATACCATTCGATTGTGTAATACTTTGCACCACGCCGGGATATCGAATTACGCTTTGTTTTGTTTTAAAGTTATAAAATTTGAACACTAATCGTCAGCGAATATCAAAATTACATTAACATTTTGTCAAATTGACAGTTAGCTTAGCAAGTTCACTCGACCTTCGGTTGTACCGTTCAAAAACCAAACAAAAACAAACAACAACTAGTAAAGGTAGGGTTGTAATTCCTTAACATTTCGTTTTTTTTTTAATAGTAATTGAATTGATGAATCTTAGTTCTTTACCAATAGCTTCTTATTTTAAATTAATTTTTAACTGAAAACCTTGTGCTCAGAAACTTTGCTTCTCAGTAATTACTGCGAGGAGGATAGTGAGTAACAACCAAGAGATAACAATAGTCCACAATTAAAACCATCAGAGTTTTTCAATAACTAGAAGTAAACATTTTCTGAGAACCTTTAGGAACCGTTAGGAAAATGACTCTCGGACACAAGGAACAACAAAGAATTGTTTTGTCTTGTCGATATATGTATCCGTATCCGTCCGAGTAGGTTTTTCGTTTAACACATTGTTTTATATTTTGAAATTATATATAAAACAATGAATAAATGAAATATATAATGTTAAAAGCTACTATTATTGTGACCAGTTCTAAAAGAACTATTTGACCATTCTTACAATGAAAGAAAACTACAATCTTTGTGATGTATTTATTAAAATAAATATTTAGGCCTGAACGTCAATGGTCATTTCAGACACGTGTCTAGTAGGCATAAACTTAGAAAAAATCTGAGATCTGTATCGAAATCTGTATTTAAGGTAAATGTATTTAAGGATATATATACACCATTAACGATCTGTCACCTCACTAATCCAAAATATGATTTAGAATAGAGTTGTGTAGCTCCTGAGTGAGTGATTTAAAAGATATATATCATTCACGACGATAAAATCTATCACTCACTCACACTTGCTCCGAATATATCAGTAACTCACTACTAGCTCACTACATCACTAGCTCATCGACGCCGATCTTTGTATCATGAGCGAGTAAGACTAAAGATAAATGAGTGAGATAGATGATGGTTGAGTTCACGCAAGTTTCTTTATGCAAAATGTACATTATTTTTATAGGATCAAAGTACAAGGAACATCAAATTATGTGTGATTTCTATTATACAACCTAAAAAAAAGTACAAGAAATAATTTCTTATTTTTAATTTTTAATTATTATATAAAGGCTGTTAATAATTATGTTATGTTATCAAAATGAATAATTTTGTATTTAAAAAAAATTGGTTAAAAATGTAGTTTCAAAAACTGAATTTAGGTTTATAAGAAAATAAAGAAAGATTTGTAAGGCGAGAGAGGCTTGAAGTGAGTGATATACAAGTATACTGAGCTAAACGATCTAGATAAAGAAATGAATTAATTGAGAGACCAATCAATTGAATCGGATCAATGAGCTAGTGAGCTAAAGGAGTTAGTGAGCTAAGTGAGCTAGTGAGCTAGATGAGTGATATATATCTTTAGAGCGAAATGATATGTATCAATTATTTCAGCTCAGTGATACATTTTGCACATCACTAATTTAGAAGTAGAAACTTGTGACGTACGTAAACACAATGACGTAGATAAACAGTCTGTTTAACAGACGGCTGATTGGTTATTAATTGGACAATTTCGACAAGTTTTTGATTGGTGTTTCCAATCATATAACTTACGGATAAAAAATTACTATTAGTAAATATCTTTCCTTCATTTATATTATTTTAGGCTTTCTATCAATAGACCTGTTGAATATAGTAGTTATTATTTTATTCCCTTGTTGCTTATCACAGAGTTAGTAAGGTTACTGGAGCCCAGAACCACCTGAGTCTCGTGGGGGAGGGGGTTGGGGAACTCAAAAGGGGACAACGTCATGAGAGTAGCAGGCGTCTGTAATCATAATAATAAATTCACACATTTCAGCCTGTGCTATAGTAATAAGACTGCTGATAAACGTACTTATATATTTCTAAATACATTTAAATTTTAGATAAATTACTCCAAGTCGCAAAACAAATGATCGTCCTTATCACACAATTATTTGACCTGGGTAGGAATCGAACCCACGACCTATTAGTACAGTAGTCACTTACCATACGTGATCCGTTTGCTTGTTTGACTCACCCTATCACATTAAAAAGAACAAGACGAACACTTCCTGGTGCAGAACGGCAGCTGTTGGTATATCAACGAAAAGATTGTTTTCTCTTTTAAAAAGACATCTTCGCACTAGGCTCTGTGGTTAGCTGGTGGCCTAATGCGCTACTTGTGGTAACAAAATGTGTAGTAGAGAGTAGTATCAGTATATACTCTGTATACAGCTTAGGCTAGTGGGTAACATAAAGGTAATTTCATAATTCATGGCATGTTCTACTCGCCTGGCCGGAGGATCCTCCCTTTGTGTTGGAAGGGCATAACGCCCATCCTTCCACTATCTCTTGGTTACTTGGAATAGAATTAATGTGTGTCAGTCCTGGTATGTTTAAAACTATTATTTACTAAGCTTATTGATATCTATTGTTAGGTTACAATGCAAGAAAGTGTTGTAGCGATTCATGGCTTACGGCTAAGCACTACTTTACCTGTAGAGTGCTATCTAATTGAGATCGTACGAAAAGAGCGCTGATGAGTCAAGAGACTCCAATATAAAAATATTCAACTATCTGTCTCTATTACTATTTACATTAGGAGAAATTAAATATCAAATGTGTGCTTCAAAATAATATATTAAAATTAAATAACAATATAACTTCAGTATATTATTACAGCTCATCTATCCTTTTTCTTACTTTTAGACTTTTTCTTATGTTTAGACTTATGTTTTTTACTTTTCTTCTTTTTTGTCTTTTTACTTTTTAGTTCATTAACATCTACCCACGAGTCTTCGCTTGATGACGAGCCCACTTCAATACTCTCCTTTACATTACTGCTAGAACCCTCAGATAGCAATCTTTTTTTAATATTTTCTGGAATTTTTGGCCCATACATTTCTTCCTCTAAACTAAAATCTTTTGTCTCTGATTTTTTTATGTCTATAGCATTTGATGGATTGGTTACTGGCTTATCGTCTTTTCTTTTCCAAGAATTCAGTTCATCAAAATTTATATTAGCAAAAATGCCACGAGGAGGGGAATTGTTTCTTTCAATATTTTTTGGAACATCGATGAAATCTGTTTTATCGCTGGTTTGTTGTTTAGCTTCTAAAGGTTCGTCTTCACTGTCGCTTAGGAATATGGATTTATACAAATCCATTTTATCGAATTTATTTATTGTTTCAGTGACTTCAACCCCTTGTTTTTTATTCTCTTCGGACTCTTTTAAAAACATTTCTGCAACTGTCATTCTCTTTGTAAACCCTGTAACTGTCTGTGTGTGATCAACTCTTTTGCTCTGATCTACATTGAGGTCAGATGTTTTATTCTCAGTATTCAAGTTACGATCTACTGTCTTTGTTTGGTCAACTTTGGAAGTGTTGATGGACATTGATTTTGAGCCACTGAATTTGCTTTGCTCTCTTGCGAAACTGTCCTTGTCATGAACAGATGATTCTAGGTACGAGAAGATTGAATATGAAACTTTTGGTTTGTCTTCTTTTTGCTGTTCTAATCTGTGGACAAATCGATAAGAAATGCAATAATTATACTAGGTTAATAAAAAAGAATAATTGCCTATTTATAATAAACAACGTTTCAGTAGAACCAGCCACTGATTTTATGATATAGATTTAGGTCAATAAAGAGCTTTGATCTTAGAAACACTCATTTACAACAGTCAGTAAGATATTTTCAGTAAAATCATTATTTTTTTAATCAGTTCTGATGATGAGTGTTGAACGCTCGTTGGGATATAATATAGTGTTTACATGGCAGTTTAAGGGCGTTAAAAGCGTAACGTCGCAATAGGGTGAAATGGACGTAAACACAGAACATGAAAACATTTTTCTATCAATTTGCGGTATTTTCTTGTATTTTAAACTCTATTTTAAACAAAAAAGACTTCGTGAAATGTATGATATAAAGTTTCACTTAAAGGAGAACTGACTTTTTTACATAATTTCACACTTTATTACACAATAATAATAGTCATACCTAACACCTCCAACTTGAGGGAGGTTAAACCTCTTTGACACGAGTGACTCTGGTCTCCACTCTGTCTGGAGTCTCGTCATAACGCCGTACACCCCGCGTTGTGCTGCATCCATCTGTACACAACATACTTGTTCAGAATACATATTTATAATCAATCAATAATAATTGATCGATTATAAGTTATTGTAATTACAATATATCGAGAAGACATCGCGTGTAGATATATGCATAAAAGTAAAAGATTCTTTCCATTATTCCAAAAAACGGCGACACTCATTGTCGCTGTTTTTTGGAATAATGGATACAATGTAAATAACAATGTAGAATGTCTTTTTTTATGTTAAACCCACCTGATGGAAAGTGACCATCGCCGCCCATGAACGTCTGCAACTCACTCAGGAGTCACAAACGCGTTGCCGGTCTCTAAGAAAGGAGTACGCTCTTTGCTTGAAGGTCGTATCGGACCGGAAATACCGCAGACGCTAACCGCTTTTTAATATTTTTATTCGCAATCATTAATGGTTTAGTCAGAATATCTACCATAATGTGATCTTCAGGTTTTATGCTTTACGCAACCAAGCATATAGCTCGTCTGATGGTAAACTATTAAAGGTTATCGTCAATACGCTATATATCTACAAAACCAACTGTTATTAGAAGCAAAATTTTGGCACGTAATAATTCTAAAACGAACCTGCTCTTTAGTTGCCAAACCATGATTCGATGAGCTCTTGGCCACTGCAGTCAGAGGGTTTAATGCATCGTCAGGTTCTGATGCGTGGGTAAATCTAAAACACGATAAAGAAACATGTAATAATATTCTTCATATTATTTTCATCATCAGCCCATCGCCGTCCACTCCTGAATAAAGGCGTCCCAAAAGGAGTGCCAAACATCCTGGTCTTGGCCATCCATCCTCTGCCAGCCATTTTCTTCAAGTCGTCGGTCCATCGTGCCACAGGGCACCCTGCATTACGTTTGCCTAATCAGTCTCTACTCTAACCTATTTCGGCTCCAACGAACATCAGTCCGTCTGGAGACATGACCGGCCCACTTCCACTTTAACGTTCCCATTCACGTGCGAAGTCCGCCGTCACGTCTTAAGCAAAGGGCCTTAGAGGTTATGGTGGTGCCTTTTGTTCCCCTTTTTCGAGAAATCGCGTCCTCGATCGCTCGAGGATTCGACTGCTGAATGCGTCTTCTTACTAGCCTCTGTACCCGCTTGTTAAGATCCTGACGCTCAGATGGTTGTCATTAAAATATACTGAGATGTGAGTGAAATATCAGTCCCCATCTAGTGGTATTCTAAATTTTATTTCAACAACTATAAGCTGATTTGTGAAAAGGTAACATATAAACAGAGGGTTCTTTCACATTAATTATAATATTAATAAGATAAGCAATTAAGAACCTCTTTGATATACATGACATACATATTGGAATGTGTTAATACGACTGAAATGTCTTTTAGTTTGTTTCATTCGGTAAAGAAAAATCTTTTGTAAGGATAAATGACAGTAAAATTCTTACCTATCCCCCATAATACCACTCAGTGGTCTATATAACTTAGCAGCTTGTTCAAACTCCACCAGCTCTCTTTCTCGCTCCCACTGGCTTAGTTTATCTATACTGTTGTCTCCCTCCTTCGTACTACCTCTATCTTCCAAATACTTTTCATACCGGGCTTGTTTCTCCATGTTACCAGCAAAAGGCCTGAACACTTTTTGTACTTCTTTGCCTGTATCAGCAATCGATATGAAGTCTAATTCCTTCTTCTCTGCGGTTGTTGTGAAATTAATATTTCTACCTAATATCTTTGTGAGATCCTCTTTTTGCGGTGGTGTTTGCGTTTCCATGGGAGGGTCGGGCAATGGCTTAATCGGTGTTTCTCCAAGAAGTGTTCCTCTAGCTTCAGCTGTTAGTTCGTGGCGACCCAGTCCTGTAATTTAATTTATATAAATATTTAGTTCAAAGAACTTTGTCTCTCTGAAAAACCTAATCACACTGTTAAATATACCTTGGTCTCTCTCCTTGTGAGTAGTTGGCTCGAATCTGGACCGCCTCACTCCTGCAGCAGACGGCACGTAGTCGCGGGGCAGGGCGGGGGGTGGGTGCGCAGGCACCGACGGAAAAGGCTTGACGGCTTTTACAAACCCTGGAAGCACCTAACAGACACAAAAATATTGCATGCTTGACATAACAAAAAAAATTTCGTTCTCTGTACTCTTGACAATGTACGAGTATGTGTAAAGTTCCACGATAATAGGTTGAGTAGTTAAGGCATGTTTAATGTATGGTCGAGGTCGGGAGGAAGTGAGGGTCGAGGCGGGAATTATTCCTTCAGGGTACTCAATAAAAAACCTGATAGGATAATCCTGAACTATATTTGGATCACGTTACCTCTAAACTTAAGATCTACATAACCAAAAACAACTCCCCAAGTCATACACCTGCGGAGACTCTTAATATCGAGTTTTAATTTAGGTCCTTTTTAATACAGCGCCATCTAGTGACATTAAAGGAACTAAAATTACTTTACTTACTCGAACATACCGCCCACCAAGGACATTATTGAAGAGTATGTCCTTCATAAATAAAGGTTCTTAGATTGTGACTAGCTATCAAATAATGTCTCTGTTGAGGGTACATAACGAACCTATACACTAAGTAAATCTATTGGATATCTTATCGATTACATAATAGTCGGTATGATTAACAAAAGATCTTAAACATTTATAATCTTATTGTTTGATCAATTTTATATAGAGAACTGTAAAATAAACCAAACAACCAACTCAAACAGGAAAAAACAAAAACGAAATAACTATTCTTATAAGCACTCTTATGAATAAAATGTAAATGAAATGTACAAAAAACTTATAAATCTATTCATTGACAGGCAAAATACACAACTTTGAAGTAGGACGTTTCAGTAAACTCCCTCTAACCTTTAATGTGACTACTCGGGTAACGTTGTCAGGTCCTGGGTGTTTCTGAACTATTCGACCCAGCAACCAACGAGCAGGAGGTAAATCACTTTCTTTGACAAGTACTACGTCACCGATGTTTGGTTCGGGAATGTGATAAGACCACTTATATCTATGAGCTAGCGTGGTTAAGTACTCCGCAGACCAACGCCGCCAAAAGTTCTGCAACATCCTTTGTATGAGTTGCCACCGATTTAAAGGACTAATGTATGATGCTTCATAATTAGGTTCAGGCACAGTCACTAACGGTTCGCCAACCAGAAAATGACCCGGCGTTAATGGTAGTGGTTCATCCAAACCTTCACCATTAATGACTGTCATTGGTCTAGAGTTCAGACAAGCTTCTACTTGACTGAGTAAAGTGCTCATCTCTTCATAGGTTAGAGTTGAATCGCCTATAACCCTTTTGAGGTGAAACTTAGTGGACTTTACAGCCGCCTCCCATAATCCACCAAAATTTGGAGCATGGGGCGGTATAAAATGCCATACCGTGCCCTTGCCTTCTAAATATGCTGCCATGTCCTGTTGTATAGCTGTCAGTTCTTTCAATTCTCTCGCAGCGCCGACAAAATTGGTACCATTATCACTCCATACTTGAGCACAATGTCCTCGCCTAGCTACAAATCGTCTAAAAGACGCTAGAAAAGCTTGTGTACTTAAATCACTAACAACTTCTAGATGTACAGCCCGTGTGGCCATACAAACAAAGACACAAATATAGCCTTTGTAAGACTTGTGGCCTCGACCCTTTGCTGTCCTGATATTAATTGGACCAGCGTAATCCAATCCACTGTGAAAGAATGGTCTTGTTGGAGTGCACCTCACTGAAGGCAGTGATCCCATCAGTTGAGTGTTGATCTTGGCGTTATGCTTTACACATGTCACACATTTGCGAACATAATGTTTAACGAGGCTCTTTACTCCAAGTATCCAATATGCAGATCTTAAAAAATTTACCATGATCTGAGGACCTCCATGTAACGTTCGCTCGTGCGCATCTGCCACCAACAATTTAGTAAGATGTGCATCATGCGGAAGAATTATAGGGTGCTTTAACTGATCTGGCAGAGGCGCTTCTTGCAATCTACCACCAACACGAAGTATGTCATCATTGTCTAAAAAAGGGTGTAATGAACTAATTTTACTGCCCTTTAATTTATGAAGTGTTTTGGTTTTTATGTGTAAGTATTCACTTGTAAATACAGTCTTCTGACAATGTCGTATACAACATTTCAAACTTTCTTCTATTTCTATCGCTTGCAAATGCTTGGGCCTGTTATTTCTATTTTTTAAATTAATCAATCTTCTACAATATGATAAAACTCGCAATAATCGCCCCAATGAGCTGAATTTTATCCAGGGACACTTGGTTGAGTCCTCTTTCGCTATACCAATGTGAGACTTCACTGACTGCTCGAAAATTATGTTGTCTACAGCAGGTCTGCTATACACCACTTCAGGATTATGCAAAAATTGGGGTCCCTCGAACCATAGTTTGTTCTCTGCTAGTGAACTAGGTGAAACTCCTCTTGACGCACAATCCGCAGGGTTGTTCTTAGAAGACACGTGGGCAAATTGTTCTGAATCAAGTGTGGTCAAAATCTCCGACACTCGATTTGCCACGAATGTTTTCCACCTACTTGGGTGACTATTGAGCCAGGCAAGCACTACCGTCGAATCAGTCCATGCATGCACCTTGTTCCTTGGAATATTCATGGCCTTCGCCACGTCTGCTAGCAATCTCGCCAATAAGACGGCACCACAAAGCTCGAGGCGAGGGATACTTATCTGCTTAATAGGGGCGACTTTGGTCTTTGCAACTAACAAAGACACGCGTACATCGTTAGTGCTATGGACAGTTCGCGTGTATACAACTGCTGCATATGCCGATTTTGAGGCGTCACTGAAACCATGCAACTCCACGGAACTAATATCACCGGATATTCCCAGCCATCTAGGAACACGCACTTGAGATAAATCTGACAACGCTGTACGGTAAGTCTCCCATTCTATCCTGACACTGTCCGGTACTTCGTCATCCCAATTCACGCCTGCCAACCACAGCTTCTGTATGAGAATCTTAGCTAATATTGTGCTAGGCGCTAGCCAACCTAAAGGGTCAAACAAACGCGCTATGTCCGAGATAATCTTTCTTTTAGACCACTTACCACACACAGAAGGAAGCTGTACAGTGTATCTGAACTCGTCTGTACGTCGACACCAGGTGAGTCCTAATATTTTTGTACTCTCAAATATCTCTATTTCTTCCTTTGAATCATTTCCCTTTCCATCTAGTGTGTTCTGAACCTTACTCTCACCGCCGTCCATCTCCTTAATTATATCTTCATTATTGCTGTTCCATTTCTGTAATTCGAATCCAGCTTTCCCTAATAAATTTCTCATCTCCCTACTCAATCTCTTTCCTTCTTCTACTGTAGAACAACCGACCATCATGTCATCCATATAAAAACTATTTGGAACCTTTTCTGCTGCTATTGGATACTGCCAACCTTCATCTACTGCGACCTGATGGAGTGATTTTACAGCTAAATAGGGAGCGGAGGCTGTACCAAAAGTTACAGTAGTCAAGGAGTAATCTTGAATATCCTCGTTAGGATTGTCTCGCCATACAATTCGTTGATAGAGGACATCCTGTTCTGCGACTCTAATCTGTCTATACATTTTTACAATGTCTGCGACGATGGCTATGTAGTGCGTTCGCCAACGAAGAACAATATGTCGAAGGTCTGATTGTAGTGTAGGACCTATCATGAGAGTATCGTTGAGAGACACGCCCTTGTCGTTTTTACAGGAAGCGTCGAATACTACCCGTACCCTTGTAGTCGACTTGTCATTTCTTATGATTGCGTGATGTGGTAAGTACACAGCGTCGTTTATTTTGTTATCATTACTGTCTACTTTCTTCATGTGATCTAATTGTAAATATTCTTTAATAACTTTCGTATACTTTTCCTTTAGGTCTTGATCTTTATTTAATTTTTTTTCTAATAAGTAAAATCTTTTCAAAGCTATATCTCTACTGCTACCACCTACACAAGTAAGATTTTGATTTTTGAATGGTAGCTTTACAATATAGCGACCATCCGTTGTTCTACAAGTCGTAGACGCATACCACTCTTCACACCTCTGTTCTTCTTCTGTCAATATTTTCTCCGAATTCGGCAACTGATCTTCGATTTCCCAGAACTTTTTTAGAATATCCGTTTCTTCAATTTGTACATGCATTGCCGTGATCGTATTGACATGCTTGAACTTTGGTTGCACTGGAACTGTACCCGAAAGGACCCAACCTAAGCTAGTGCGCTGTGCCACGACGGACCCAGCTGGAGCCTTCCTTATTCCGTCTCGCAATACCTCGCTGTACACATCAGCACCCAACAGAACATCAATCTTATTAGGTTTACTGAAGTGCGGATCTGCTAGGACCAGATGTTCTAAGTCTGGCCATCTAATCGGTTCTAATTGTCGCTCTGGAAGATACGATGTTATATTCTTTAACACGTACGCTTTAACTTCTATCTCGAACCCAGCCTCTGTTAACGATCGAAGTACTAACGTCACCATGTAGTTAGCAATAGACGTCTTGCCATTGCCAATACCAGTAACGATTCCCCTAATTGGACTCTTTTTTAACCGCAGTAACTGAACTGTAGCTTCCGTAATAAAGGAAGCTTGTGATCCTTGATCTAACAAAGCTCGCACTATTTGAAAATCATGAGCTATCGTCTGAGCTTTTACTAACGCAGTAGCTAGTAAAACTTGACGAGGCTGAGTAATTTTGGTTGAGAGACAAGAAACTACTGGCATGCTAACATCTGATGCATTCGGATCACCAGAAGAGATGCGTGTCTTGTCCCGCTCCACCGTATGGACGCCTGTGCTATCAGCATGTAGAAGGGTATGGTGTCTTTTTTTACATAATCTACATGTCGTGTTCTTTTTACATTGACCTACCATATGGTTGCCGCCGAGACAGTTAAAACAAATATTGTTTTTTGACACAAATTGCCGTTTTTTATCGATATCTAACTGAATAAACCCCTGACAATAACATAATTTATGATTTTGTGAACAGAACTCACACCTTAGATGTTTAACAAAGTTTGATTTCTGAGTCGCTAGCAATACCCTTTGATTTGATGACTGAAAGCCATGCGCCTGGACCGTAACCTTTTTAGGAACCTCAATATTTTCAAATGCTGTGAAACGACCTTCAATAAATGTTTGAAACTGCTTTAAAGTGGGTAGTTCATTTGAACCATCTTCTGAAACCTTTAACTCCAACTGCTAGCGGGTTTCTGGGTCGAGCTTAGATGCCATTATATATATAATGATTATGTCCCAGGTAGTCACATCAATCCCTAAATTGCTTAAAGCACTAATACAATCACTTGTTGTATCTAACAGACATTTTAAAGAAATGGATGACTCTCCATTAATGCGTCTCTGATTAAACAATTGTTGTAAAATATTATTAGCTAGCCGACGTTTATTATTATATCTATGTTCTAACTTGGCCCAACACAACTCATAATTTGCCTCCGTGATAGAATTTTGCCTAAGTAATTGCTCGGCTTCACCTTGAAGCAGACCCTTTAAATAGTGAAGTTTTTCGACATCATCTAATTCAGCGTTATTACGAACTAGTGAGGTGAACAAATCTCGAAAACTTATCCACTCGGCAAAATTACCAGAAAAAACAGGTATGTTGATCTTAGGTAATTTAATATTTTTAGGTTTATTGCCACTGGACGATGCCCGTTCACGGTCATCCTTCCTAACGAATTTAAGTTTATAGTCCTTTAAGTCTGATTTATAATTAACATACATCTCTTCTGTTTTTTCATAAACATCTGTTGTAAAATATATACCCTTCATTTCCTCTATTGTAGCAAGCTCAATTATTTTAACATGTGTATCCTCAAATTTTTTCCATTGATCTTCTAAAGCTTCTAATCTAGTCTCTACATAACCTTGTGTAATCCTTTCCTTAGGTGATTTTTTGAAATTAATTTTTCCCTTTTCTATTATATTTTTTGTGTTGTTTTGTAATTTGATTAAAACTTCCATTTTGTTAAATTACTAATCTAGCGTGTACGATTTTATTTACCAAACTAAAATTTTAAAGCCTTATTGGCTTATTTACCACTTAGCTACGAAATAAAGATCTAAATCTTCACAATCATGTACAACTTATAAGTTAAAGATTTACTTTGTACAACTACACAATAAATTTTACAAGTTCCAAAAACTCAAAAACATTCTGTGTTTGAGAACAGAATAAAAACGAAAATCGGGCATAGGTTCCCCGTCGGTACACTTTTCTTAAAACTATTCTAAGTCTAAACTACAACTACTTAAATTATTCTAAGTTTAAACTATGAACTACCGAAATTTACTAAGTCCAAAAAAACTGCAAAATTAAAAGCACTGCAAATTATTCTAAGTCCAATCAGCAAGAAATGATTTCTTTTCTTCTGTATTAAGATAAATTAAAAATTGTACTCACAGATGTCCACTGCACTATCACTCACAGATTTCCGTATATGTTGCGCCTCCACTTTTGATCTCGTTCGTGGTGTACCTCAGCCTTGCGGGTGAACTGACTCCCGCAGCCGCTGTTTGCACGAATCGCTTCCGCCTTCGAACTCGCCTCCGGTTAGACCTCGGCCTGATCTTGAACTGCTTCAACCGGGTTGCCCAGCCAGCACTAAGCGTCATCAGTGCCAATCCGCCACTGTGTCAACGCCGTGTAGATCCGTCTGACCAGCCAACCTATATCCGCCTCGTAAGGACCATGTTTAATGTACGGTCGAGGTCGGGAAGGAAGTGAGGGTCGAGGCGGGAATTATTCCTTCAGGGTACTCAATAAAAAACCTGATAGGATAATCCTGAACTATATTTGGATCACGTTACCTCTAAACTTAAGATCTACATAACCAAAAACAACTCCCCAAGTCATACACCTGCGGAGACTCTTAATATCGAGTTTTAATTTAGGTCCTTTTTAATACAGCGCCATCTAGTGACATTAAAGGAACTAAAATTACTTTACTTACTCGAACAAGGCATAAAAACATCACAAATACACATACACATTTATAAATGATAAATATTTTTTTTTTATGTAGGAGCTGAGCAGGTGTCCTATACGAAAGTACAAATGTTAATGCTACAATTAAAAAGAGTACATACGTTTTTACTGGTGTCCTTGATTTGTTTCTTCTCATTGACTGGACTTGGTCCACCAATAGCGAAGTCATAGTGAGACATGTCTTCTGTACCGTAAATATCTTCATCATCAGCTTCAAACGCGCCAACACCAAACGCTTGACCACGAATTGATACCTGCAGAGATAGTTATATGGTTTTCATTCATTGTACAATAATATTTTTTAAATGATGTATACCTTGTACCGTGTGTTATATAAGACAGATAAACGTACTTAGACACATTTGTGTACACAAACTAGTCTCAAGTAATTTACATAATAAATCTTTAAGAACTTTAAAAAAATGAACGCCCTTTTATCTAAGATCATATTCAAGCAACTGCCTGAAACACAGGTGACACACCTAGCTCAGGCCAATTGCAACAATTCGTAATATTTTGATTTTATTTTTCACTCTTGCACATTTTAAAATAGCCATATACTAGTTTTATGTTAGCTTTATATAAGAATCTAATGACAATAAGATGTAACTCATATACAAAATGTAATCAAGGTTTTATTCTTATTCTGCAATTATTATTTTCCTTTTTATATTGTGCATAGAAACATGTAGAGTCTAGACCAATGCCATAGACACAGAGCCGCTGGGTACAGATGTACAGTGCGTGCACTGCACAAGGGCGGCATTTTGAAGGGGGCAAAAACAGAAATCATAACGAATACTAAATATTCTCAAAATTTGCATGTCGAATATGTTTTTATCACGTCATAATCATAATAATGACATCTATTGATCATTTTTTTCATTCACATTACTCTATAAACGTTTGTATAACTCTATCACTAACACGAACGCGTGTGAGAATTCCGAAATCATACCGAATCATGGGGCGGTCTAATCAGTATTACACGTGGGCACAAGCAATAGCTAGCGGCGGGTCTGCATAGACATATATTTAATAAATAAAACAAAGACGGATTTGTTAAACTATTTATAACTCGAGAACACCAGGACCAATTTTTACGGCTTTTGATTTTTTGGATATGTCTCTGCGGATTTTTTTTTATGAGAAAATTCATTTTGTCATACATTATACATATTTGAAACCTAACGGCAGAAGAGCAGGAATGTAACTTAAGCATTCCTGCTGTGGGGAACTACTAGTTGGTAATTATAACAATATTTTTGCAAAATATAACAACAATGAATAAATAAATAATTAAAATAAATTAATAATTTAAATTAAATTTTGAGGGGGACAGATTTTGCAGAGACGGACTTTGCAGTACATTGTTCTATCAATCTATCACACAATTCGATCTCGAAACAAACAAAAACAAGATTGATTACTAACTATAAAAACCATTTTTAATTGCCCTTCCATCTGACCTATCTTGCCTTTTTAATATACTCCGCCGAATTTCCCAAATTTAATTCCTAAAGTGTCTTGTAAACAGCTATAGCTTTGCCTTCTATTGCCATAGTATATTAAGCAAAATGTAGGTGCGAAATACAGAATACTGGATGTTGTGTATATGTAAGTCTCACCTTTCTGCCTTTATCTCTCATATTCAAATGACTTTTACAAGAGCCTGCCTCACTACCATATTCTCCTGTTAGGTTCCCGAGCACGGAGTGTCGACTTAGCGCTGAGTAACCGAGCCCGAAGCGATCATCCTTACGATTAAGAATATAAGGCTCATAGTCGTCTGGCGCGAATAAAGTGTCAAAGTCGTATTCTGAAGAACTGGAGGAGTCTTCTTCAGATTCTGGTCGATCCTGAAAAACAACTTGAATTGATCTAAAATACTCGAAAAAAAATATAGAAGAGAAAATCATCCAATATATGTTTATAAACAAACAAATATAGTATTAGTTTTAAATTCAACTTTACTTATTGTTTACACAACTGAACAGAAAATTTATGAGACTGCATTACATTAATCACATAATTCAATACCTAATATAAGAAGGTATATATACAGCTATTGTAATTACATTACCATCATTTAAATACATGTAACTGAAATATTAATTTAATTAATTAAGTACTTAATTACATCATAAATGACTTGCAACAAATTGCCTATTGGCCATACCTGTTTCAATTCCTCTGGCATATAACATCCATAGACTTTATGTTGCTTCTTGGCCATCTTTTTCTGAGACTTGCTGAGTCTCTCCCCAGTGCCCTGACCTTCTCGCCAGCCCATGGCTCGTAGCATCTTTACTGCTGCTGTTTCGTGAACTGCTCTCACTAGTTGTTGTAGTACCGGCTCCCCTGAGAAATAATAATGAAAAATAGTTACAGTAAAGATATACAATTGTTAGCTTCATTTATATCAAAATAAGGTCTCCTTCTGACATTGGAATTCAAATGTCATGTATAATTGCCAAAGGTAAGTAAAATTCAAAGAAAATGATTGTATGTTTGTTCCTTTACATTTTAAAAATGAAAGAAACCTAACTGCTAAGGAATGTGACCTCTACAAATCATCCCTCAGACAATCACTCTCCACCCATTGCGGTCCTCGTCATTCAAAATAATATTTAAGATGTATAAGAAAACAACTTACCAGGGATTGGTCCATCATGATAAGTCCTTTGTCGGGGTCTCTTCTGTCCAGAGAACTCGTTATGTGTCTGCAAGAGGCGCGGTGCAATCCCAAACTCACTGCGGTCTTCTTCATCCATGAAGTCCTCAGGGCGTCGATTCTAATGATTGGTCATAAAATTTTGATGGTAGCAGTATCTTTTTTATCCTATATACCATAATAAATCATTTTTGGGGAAGCAGACGTGTCACCTCACGGTAAGGGACTACCGATTCCTGATGGACACTTGTAACTTAAGAGTAACCAATGCGTTGTCGCAAGTTTAGTCCCTCCCCTTATTAGATTTTTTCAGCCCAAACAGCATTTAGCATGCTGTGACGAACCCCTAAACCCCCTGTAAAATGCTGCTGCATCAAATCTCTGCCCGTCATTTGCAATTTGATCAGCCATTTAGCAAAAGCTTTAGTCTTTCATTCATATTTCTTCAGCTTTTGCCAAAGATGGGTTTATATTAGTAGCATGCTGCATGAGGCATGGAATGACTACTCTATTAGAGTTAACTGTAGTTAAGTTTAACTGTATGCTTAGCAATTTTGAAGTTAAGCATAAATATTCTACCAATACTTACAGAAACCCGAGCTTTTTCTGATCTTGAACTCTTAAAAGTGCTGGGGGTCCAACCTTCCATTGACCCCACAGTATTTCCAAACCCCGCTGAGAAGCCCCCCGTAAAAGCTCCATGGAATCTACGCCTGCCATTTGCATCCACGGCAAATTGATCAACCTGCTCTTGGAACTTACGTTTTGTAGGTAGTTCATCTGTTGAAACATTTTATTTAAGTGTTATGTATGTTTATGAAATTTTTAATTCAAATTGTTAAGTTTATACTAGCAAACCATTGATACAATTATTTATGTATTCAAGTATTTATGCTGTGTCTGAAACTGAAATCTGAACTATCGGCATACATTTTGCAGCGAACTGAAGTTTGGTAAAATAAGACTATTATCCTAATTTGCCCTATTTAATCGTTATAATAATAACTTCACAGATCTCACACATGGCTCCAATCTCAAACTAGGCAGAGATTATGCTATGATAACCAGACTGCTTATAAACATACTTATATACTTCTACAGATAAATGACACCCAGACACAATAAATGATGGTGCTCATCACACAATTATATGTTCATGATGGGAATCCAATCTAGAACTCAGGGTTAGCAGTTAGGATCACTAAACACTAGCCTAAGGTCCGTCAAATCATTATGTTGTCTTTCATGAATTTTATAAACTAACAAATGGTTAGTGACCCTGACTGCAATGCCAGAAAGACCTCTGGGCTCAATTCTAACACAGGACAAATAATTGTGTGATAAGAACGGTCATTTGTTCTGTGTCTGGGTGTAATTAATCTATAACTAGCTTTTGCCAGCAGATCGGATGTTTGTCCTTTCTCAAGAATTAAACAATTAACCTTTCTTAGGAGAGGTCTATGTATAGCAGTTAACTATTAAAGGCTGTTGATGATGATGATGAAACTATCTCCATGCCAAATTTCATCTAAATTGGTTGAGCGGTTATTGATTCACCAATATAAAAAACTATCCTATGTCCTTTCCTGGGACTCACTATAACCATCTTCTACTACTAGAACTCAAATATAACTCTATAACAAATTTTATCTTAATCAGTACAGTGGTTTAAGTGTGAAGAGGTAACAGACAGACACTTTCACATTTATAATATTAGTATGGATTTAGCTGTAGAAGTGAATGGGTTTTGATTAGTTGCCAAACAGACTTTGTACTTGTTGAATACTCTATTTCACAGGGATTCACAGATTCCTAAATATCTTTCTTGCTTCCTGCCACTACTGCTGTTGCAAGTGCTTTTAGCTACTTAGTAATGTGAAAAAAAGAACTTTACTCTTCAATACATAACAGATAGTAATCCAAAGTATATCATTACAAGGATACAGATCACCATTTTCAGTATAACGCTTTTAACTTTAATCCTGCCAAGATTCATAGTTAGATATCAAATTATTCTTTTTGGTACATTTGAATATTTAAGCTAGTATTTCATTAAAATTTTGGTACATGTAGGTATACTTTCCAATAAATAAGGAAGTTAGAAGTACTCTTCTACCTCTCCTTATTATGTTAGCATGATTTATCTTTACCATACTGAAGTTCTAACATAAAATTTATGTATTTATTGATATCAATCATTTTTCATTCTTAAGATCATGACCATTTTTGGCTTTTCCAGAAGTCGCTTTAAAGATAGGGAATGAAATGAAACAAAAATATAGTGGAAGGAATGTATGGTTATTGTACAAAAATTAGATCAAGTATTTAAATTAATTTAATTTTTTGTAGTAATGGATACAATTATTGTTTTTTACGAATATCTTGTGATCTGCACCAATTTTACAACATTATTATAAAAAATTAACACAACAAATTATATTATTTCACATTCTACATCAATAGCTGGCAGAGCTGTGGCTACCAGAAATAAAACTTGACAGCAACACCGCAGAGGTTTCTTGGATAATACACAATTTTTCTGTAGTATTCAATAGGCAATCCAAGCTTTAAGTCTGCAACCTTGACCTGTTCAAACTATTGCTACATGCTCTCATCTATCCACAATAAGAAATATCCTTCTTCTATCATTAGCCTTGCCTTTCTACTTCCAATTTTTAATATTACGAAAGTTCCTTCCTCTACGAGCAAGATTACCCTAATCAAATGCTACTATTAGCAAATTTCATATTAATTACATTCAATAATCATACTTCTTTTAAATTAATAAGGGAAGTATGGATCAAGAAAAGTCAACTGTTAGAAGTAAAAACAAACCTTCTTCGTATGGCTCCAACGGGGTTCCGTAACGTATTACATTCTCATCATCAGAATCTGAACCGCTCATTATAAAAGATTGCAGAAAATTGTAATTGTAAGTTTTGTGATAACAGAATTTAACTTCATTGATTAATTATCTGGCATTCACACTGGTGAACACTTACAAAACAAAAGCTAAGGTTCTTAAAATTAATACAATACTAAAATTTTACACTTGTGTCACAGGTTTCCTTTTCAATGTTTTATAAAGATTTTAAATATACACAACTGAAAAGTCTGAAAAGAAAAACGTTTGGTATTATGGAAATCGCTATTGAGCATGGCATGATCTACTATTTGACAACTTCATATTAGTTCATATAAATTGAACAAGTTTAGTGGTGTGCCGAGTGCCAATGCGCTAGAGTTAGATTGCCAGACTAGTTAGTAATACTAACTTATCTGGCAATAATAATTAACAATATACAATAATTATACTGAATTACTTTGGTATAGGAAACTACTGTGAAAACTAGAAGAAAATAGATTTCTTGATGAAATTGATAAAATATTGTTTTTGGTTTATTGTATGTTTATCAGCAGTCTAGATATCATTGTATAGGGTTTTCTTCTAGAAACTTCTAATGCGCTATGCGCACGCTATGTGATATTGTAAATTTTTATATATTTATTATATCTACAAAATAATTTCGAAGTTTCACATCTGCCAGACGTCAATTTTTTTTATAATGTTGGGAGAAAACGAGCGGATGGGTTACCCGATTATAAGTGTTTACTGACCCCATGGACTTGTGCAACACAAAAGTCACAAGTGCAGCAAACTATAAAATTGGCCTAGTGGTTAGTAATGGCCATAAATGCTAATTAGATTTAATTTAATTAATTGCGAATTCTTATGTCTTAGTATGTTGATGGCTAATGCTAATATTGCAATTTCGTTCGATGTGAGTAAATTAAAAACGATCGTTGTAGTAGGTAGAATTTGTAGGTAGGTATTTCACTTACTACTAATTTTACATAAATAACTTATTTTTATTATAATTTATACATAAACACCGCGATTCTCGTAGTCAAAATGGTCTACTATTTTATTTTCTCCAAACGCGATATGCTAGCCTTCGTGAATCGTCACTTACCCTCTGTTAAAAAACCCTATCTAAGTATTCTACCTATTAACAACGCACACGTCACACTCTTCAAAACTTAAATTACCCATATAATTCATTTCGTTTATTGCGCTCTATAATGTAAACACAGGTATTATTATTTTAGAACGACAATTTATTAAATTTAGTCTTCGGCGTTGATGCGAATGAGAAAGCACGCGCTATGTGAATGTGAAGCGTTAACGAATGAAGCGACCAATTTCGTGTACGTAATACTTCATATGTTCACGAAATTTCGAGACTACAATTAATTTGCTAACTGATAGTTAAGAATCCACAATTAAATATATTATATTATAGAGTGTAAAGACTAATTATTCCATCACTACTAGTGGTTAGTGAGCCTGACTGCTAAGTCGAAGGTCGTGGGTTCGATTCCCACCCAGGACAAATACTGTGTGATAAGCAAGATCATTTGTTCTGTGTCTTGACTGACTTGACTGCGATATCGCCAACTATAGGAGGCTGCTCTTGATCGAGAGGTGTACCGTCTGCTGACCTCCAAACTTCATTTTGAGGATGGCACCCCATGATGATGATACAAGGGCAGGGAAAAACTTGTTTGTGTTGTATGTTTTTAATTATCACTTTGAGATTTGGTTTCATGCTTTGAAGCATTTTTATTATATAAAGATACTTGTTACAATAAAAAAAGCAGTCAAATCGACTTGATGTTCGATCTCATTAATGTCAACAGTAGTGATGTGCCGGATCGTTAACAATGTATATCCGCGGAAAAGGGTACCGAATACGGATATTTGGTGTCAAGATCCGCGGATACGGATCTTAAGTTTCTTACTCAATCGGAGCCCGTGACCTTGATTGTTGTCGCCACTTGACGCTTTGCCGTTGATATTTAAATATTTCATTATTTTAATAAGCTAATACAAAGATGTTCGATTGATCTCATAATTATAAAGATACCTCTTTCAGTACCTACGACCTGCCTAGTTGATTTAGTGTAGTACGATAAATGCTTGCAATACAAAGGTGCCAAATATTTGTTTTAAGAAATAAAAAGTAATCTGAACAGAATTCAATAGTTTTTCATAGCTACCTAATAACCATTATTCAGGGTTATTTTAAATTTACTGAAAACCTCTGAAGTGCATATTAGTAACATTATAAACAACAACTTTTCTTCTGGACTAACACCGAAAACGAAAGAAAAAAATTGTTTCTCCATACAAACTAACAACATTTGATTGGTCATTCGAATGGAGAACCATTTTTTTTTCATTTTGACGTTGGCCAGAAAAAAAGTTGATGTTTATTATGTTACAAACACATACCTAAGAGTTTTACAGTGAATACAAAATAACCTATATAGAATTTCATCTATGTATTGAAAGATCCGCCAAAAAAGTCACGGATACGGATGTCTCTTCTCCCTTGGATATCCGCGGATACAGATATCCGGCATATCACTAAGTCAACAGTAGCCATAGTTAGATCGTTTATCAATTTTAACAAATACCAAGTAAGGTGGGACCATCAATAAATGGCGTCACACGAATTTTTGCTTTTCTACATTTATCCGAACCCCTCATTGATGTGATATCACACATTTTTTTCAATAAATTTTACTTGGCATATGGCATCAAGTGTATAATAACTCACTTCTCTTTTTCTTTACTTCGTTGATTTAATTTATCGTGTAACTTGATTTAGAAATAGCCCTATAATTCTTTAAAAATCATATTAATATATAAATATGTAAGTTGCTTAAATTATAAATTAAAATTCAGTCTAAATTTTATTTCTGAAGTAAAAAATATAATAAAGTAATTATTGTATCGAGATTTTTTTCCTCACTCTGTGGGTAGTTTAAAGTGACCAGCTAAGCCACTATAAAATTGTCAACTATGAAATACCTGCATATTTTAATCACTGCTATAAGGTACTAAGTTTTTTGTGTATTGCTGTTTTTTTTAAATACAGTTCATTAATTTTAAGCCACATCTTTTGATCCATATGCACCTTTGGGACACTAGAAGCTAAAATAGGTATAAGAAAAAAAAATAGATCTCGATCTCTGGCCTCAGTTATAATAATGACGTTCAATGCATTCAGGCAGAGAGAGAGAGTAGAGGCAAGGAGAACCATCCATATGGGGGAAAAGTTGAAAGTGTCCAGCTGTATACTGAAAATAGAGGTCGCTGGCGTACGAAAAACTACGATATGAACATAGCTGTTGAAGTGTAACAAATACTTTTTTTTTTTCTGAAAGTTATTACACGTTTATTTATTGTCTGTAAACCTCATTGACTATTTTCGCAGTCTAGTACACAGTGTCTAATTATTATTTAAGCTTATTTCAGTTTATTGGACACATTTTCACGGACGCTTTACACAGAGATGGCTCTCCTTGCGTCTACCCTCCACAAACCTGCCCAAATTTTATTAAAATTTGGCTAGACATAATGGTTTTTCTTAGAATATGTTTCTATTATAAACCAATAGTAATGCACACCTACACTTCAGCATTTTATCAGCTAACAGCAGTGTCTAAGCCATCAAGCTTTTTATCTACCAACATGTTCTTAATATATTGATGTAAATTTGTAACGGTTTTAAACCGATCATCTCCATTCAAACACTCCGTTAATAATTTCTCAAAATTAGGTCGGACAGTGCTCAATGTTTTTGGCAAAGGGTATAAATAGGGTTCTTCATCCCCAGCTAAAACGTGACACGCCGCCCATAAATTATGATCGCTGAGATGGTGTGTGCACATATTATCTATTGAGAATGAGAACCCTGGCTCTATGACTTCATGCTTGGACCGTTTGTACCAGTTGGGGAGATCTGTCCCTGGGGAGACATGTTTATCTAAGATGATTATATCTTCTAAGTCGACAAAGGAGATGTCATCTGCTTCGTTTGCGACTATGTTGTCCAAAGACCAATCCATTAGGTAGAAACGGAATCTGAAATCAGTATATTATTAGGACTTAAAAAATAACGAAATAGTTTCGATCATATAGATTATTAAAACTTATAACCTTCTATCTGCAGGAAATTAAATTGTATTTTAACTTTTTTATAATACTTGTAAAGTAAATAAGAGGCATTGGGTTAGTTGGTAAATGCGCCATACAAATAGGATGATGCTCTATGATAATTTGTTTCAACATGAAAGTAGGTGAATAATTTCATTTTCCATTGGTTTCTTATGTCAATCCCAGTTCCCAAAGAGTCCCTCGTAAATAATAAATAAAAAATTATAAGAATGTGTAGTGACCTCAAGATGGTGCAGCATCTTCCTCTCGTTTTCACAATGTTCAGAAATTTTGCTATATTTGCAATGCTTTGTTAGTCATCTTCTGTTTCAAGATGGAAAAATGTGTCAAGTGCTTATAGCTATGACTAAACTACATTCTTATTATTTTTGTAATAATTTCTTATAAGCCTCGTTTAGTGTTTGTTAATGTTAAATAATATTGCATTGGCACCCATGTTTCGTATCGGAAACTGGTTACTAAAACCAATGCATGTATTGCATACTTTGTATGTTTCTGAGAATGTTAATGTTTACAATGACAGTGATAAGTATGCCACACTAGTGGTAAAACAATGAAGTAGGCTGTGTGAGAAAAATTAAAGGGCAAAACTAGAGACCTACCAAGAACTTTATGCAGCATTTCATAAATAGAATAAAAAATTATAAGATATATCAGTGCAGCAATTCATCCAAAATTTAACTGGCACAAATAACAACTGGTACCGTTTTATTGCCATTGTCAGACTAACTTTTTGAATAGAAAATATTGATTATCACATTGGTAATTTTACTGTTTTAAGTATGATAATAATAGTATTTCATAACTTAATGTCCTTTGTGACAACAACATACTGTGATGGGCTTGTTGGTCTAGTGGTAAATTACCTTGACTGCTAATTTGGAGGTGGTGGTTCAATAATCGATTCCCACCCAGGACAAATATTAACGAAAATAATCAGTTGTTGTGTGTCTGGGTGTGATTTGTCAATAATGTGTATGTATTTAGAAATATGTAAGTCTGTTTATCAGAAGTCTACATAATTTTACAGTTACCATAGTTCAGGCTCTGCCTTGTTTGGGATCAGATGGCTGTGTGTGTGGTGTGTGAAGATATTATTACTATAATAATTGATGTGTGTAATCCTGAATGCTGAAATGGGGGCCTAGTACAAGTTTTACATCGACTCACTCTCGACAGCCAGCGCGTTTGGCGTTGCTACTGGTGCAGTCAAGGTGACTTTCGGGTAGATGTGAAACATAATCACACGTGGGGCAAATAAGCCAAATGACCTATGTCTATTTATCTATAGATATATATGGTATTTTCTTAATAATATTTAAGTATATTTATTAGAAGTCTGGGTTATTGGAACACGGTCTGCCCAGTTTGGGACTTATCCCAAATTAAGCAGACCATGTACACACTCCATTGTAGAATTATTAAAATCAATTGTGAAAACACAAACCTATCATGTTTATATGTAAAATCCATTGCAGCTTCTAGTATTTTCTGAGCATATATTAGTTTTTTACGAAACGTCACATGGGTAAGGGTGGACAATGATACACCCTCATCAGCAACCACTTCCAGTCTACCGCAAACACCACCATATGAAGGTAGTGGCCAGCCAGCTGATTTTTTTAATAACTGGAAAACAAAGCATTATGAAATGTTATTACTGGAACTTTTAATTTTGACAAAAAACAATCTATTACTGTAACATTTCCAATAGTAGCAAAGATACTGTGTCAACATATAATGTGGTAGGTGACTTTGTTTAATAAAATCATAAATTATTTTTAAAACAAAAGTAAATAATTAAAAAATTATATGATTCTCTATCATGATATGTGAACATTTACTATTCATACATAATGCATTAACCCTAATATCAGTAAATAGCTAAAAAAAAGTATTTTAGCAGTAGAGATAGCATAGAAAAAGAAAATACCTGTAAAATTATTGGTTCTGGATTTATATTCAACATGGTCCACACATAAAGCATATCAATCTGATGCTTAGTCTTGCCCAGAATTGGAAGTATCAGATCATACAAACTGTGTGGATAAGGGCACATAATCAGACCTTTCCGAGGTTTGCTTTCAGGATACGTAAAATTATACTGAACTGTTTCAATCAATTTCTTTTCAAGATTTGACATATTTATCAATTGTATAGGTTTACAATTGTCTTGTAGGTCAAATGTCTTGCACATCTTCACATCGAACGACTTCAGCTCCCAATCGTGAGCTAACTTTTTTAAAATAACACGACGGTTAAACTTTGTAACGCCGTGATAAATATTTTTTGCGTTAAAAATGCCAGTCCACCTATCGCTAACATCTAACCTGATTTGATCAGAATATAATTCTGGACATACAGATATACCATAACATGCAGGGCATCGACTGAGATCAGTTAAACTCATCAATCTAGGAGTATTCCAATCACCGAATAAAAGACTTAAAACGTAGAAGGATAATATAAACGGAATAATCACCGCAGCTATTTTTTTACAAAACCTACGTCGTAACAACACTTTGTCTAACATTTTTTTCTCAGTCATAGTTAAATATTTGAGAGCAAACTACAAAGCTTTTCACGAATTCACTTAATTTTCATTTTACGTTGCTTATTACCAAACTAAACGAAAACGAAACAAATCCTACTTCTATTCTATTTTTCTCTATGGCAAACGATGCCGATATGTCGACAATTCTGCCAATGTCAGTCGTGCGCTGAAATGTATGTGATAAGAGAACGAACACCAGGTATTCCTGTTAAAATTTTGTTTTCTTTGCGAATCTTGTTATGGAGTTAGGACACTGAAACAAATATTACAAATACAACACACTGCTACTTACGGATACAAATTATACATATATAAAACAGATATATAATAATAGATAATAATAATAATAACTAGATACTACATTAGTATTGACAGAACATTATCAGGATTCAAGTCAGAGTCTGATATTATTGGAATTGATGAACGACATAAGGCATACACGTAGTGGACGGGAGGAATGGGTCAGAAGGGAAGCAAAGTTTATAGGAAGGGGGATGTTCAATTTTGTTAGTTTACTGTACAGACTGGGGAGTGAGTTATTAAGGGGGCAATCAAAAAATATATGTTCCAGGGTCCCCTCGTCAAGGCCACATTCACATAGAGAGGAGTCTCGTACACGAATTTTTTGTAGAAACACTGGGGAGCAACAATGGCCCAAGCGTAGATGACAGATTACAGATATTACAGTTTTTTTGTGTTGGTAAAACCAAGGCTTTGGAGTAATGTTTGGTTGTACTGCATAGTAGTATTTGCCTTTCTTCTTGCTGGACTCATTCCACTGGGATTGCCATGAAGACAACAGTATCTTTTTGGGTACAGCCAATAAGTCATAACCTTGATTATAGTAGTGCTTAAGGTCTACAGATGGTGCTGAGATGGCACTTTTGGCCAGCATATCTACCAACTCATTGCCCCTGATGCCAGAGTGACTTGGGATCCACACTAACTGGACTGTTGTTTGTTTCATGAAACATTTAAAGAGTTGTTTCTTTATTTCTAAAATAAGGGAGCTGTGTAATTTGCTTTTGTAGGGGTTCTGTTCTAGGGCCTTGAGACAGCTCAAAGAGTCAGTGAAGATTACAGCCTTATTAATGTTATGTGTCTGTATATATATATACAGGCCTCTAGAATGGCTACACACTCACCTGTGAATACAGAGGATTCCTTTGGGCATTTGAATTTTAAAATTATTTTAGAATTTTGATAATAAACAGCAGAACCAGTGACATCCTCCTGTGACAGTTTTGAGGCATCAGTGAAGAATCTCTGGAAATCATGCCATTTTATATTTGTCAAGGCATTAAAGGCTGCTTCAGAATTAGGATTGCCCTTGGATATGCCAATATTAAATAAAATATTTGGTTTAAAATATAATACCTCTAATTCATAATTAAACAAGGGGAGCCTCTCGAAACTGATTAAGGGACACTCTATGTTTTCAAAGGAGTGGAAAGCTTTTAAAATGAAAGGTATATCCTTATGTTTCCAATACTGAGTAGAGTTTATAAGGGAATTTAGAAACTTTAATTTTTGAATAAGGGGATGGGTATTTCTGCATACTAGACGGAATATAAAACGCGTTGCCAAATATTGCCTTCTTAATTCTAAAGGGGGTTCAGCACATTCAACTTGTAATGCATTTATAGGAGAAGATTTCATGCACCCAGTAATGATCCGAAGACACCTGGCCTGAACCCTATCAAGGCTCGTAAGGGCCCCTTTCTTGCAGGGGCCTATTAAAAAGACACCATAATCCATTACACTGCGGATAAGGGCGTTATAAATCAGCTTCATGGTGTATGGGTGAGCTCCCCACCACACACCAGCCAGAGCTTTCAAAATAGGGATGACTCGTTCACACCTTTTGACCAAGTAGTTAAGGTGGTGATTACCTGTCATTTTATGGTCCAAGTATACACCCAAAAACTTTGCCTTTGTATCCACAGGGATGTTATGTCCTTGAATGTTTATATCTATTTGGGGAATGACCCTCTTCCTTGAAAATACAACTATTATGCTTTTTGAAGCAGACAGGTTCAGTCCATGATCAAGCAACCACTGGTTTAAAGATTCCAGAGAAATTGATAGGGATGTGGTAGCGTCAGTAATGCATTGGTTCGTCACATATAGAGCCAGGTCATCAGCATACTGTAGTATGTGGCAATTGTTGTTAAGGGATGAACTTAAATCTACAGTATATAAGTTGAACAACAAAGGGCTTAGAACGGAGCCTTGCGGTAAGCCTTTCCATACCCTTCGCTGCCCGAGCTCTTCCCCTTGGGCCCTGAGAGTCAGTGAGCGTGACATAGTGATTTGGCATATGCTATGTACCATTCTTGCTGAGATTCTCAGCTCTTGCAATTTTTGCCTGAGGATCGGCAGAAGGACGTTGTCATAGGCTGAAGTTATGTCGAGGAATGCCGCGACTACCGAGTCATTTCGGGATAGGGATATTCGGATATCTGTGGTGAGTATTGCAACGCTATCCATAGTGCTGAGTCCTTTTCTAAACCCGAATTGGGAGCTTGGAAGTAAATCTCTAGACTCCACAATCCATTCCAACCGATTTTTAAGCAGGTGCTCGAAGATTTTTAGCAGGACTGATGATAGAGCGATTGGTCTGTATCCATTTGGGTCGTCTGAATTTTTGCCTGGCTTTAAAATTGGGATGATTATTTGTTCTTTCCACTGATTGGGGACTGAACCGCTTTCATAGCAGTAGTTTATTATTTTAAGGAAATATTCCCTTGCTTTGCTCCCAAAATGGGTAAGGAAGGAGTACGGTATTCCATCAATCCCAGGAGCTGAGTCCTGGACATGATCAAGCACCATATCTAGTTCCTGAGAGGAGAATGACAAGTCAGATGTTTCTAAATCCAAGCTGGGTGGCACACATTCACTCTCTTCTATAGAGGGTACGTAAGAAGGAGCTATTTTATCAAAAAACAGTTCAGCTGTCTCGCGGTTCATAGGAGATGAGGTTCTGGGAGTGCATCCCGATCTAAACCTATTTATACTTTTCCATACTATTGATGGAGGAGTAGATGGTGATAAGGATGTGCAAAACCCGACCCACCCTATTCGTTTTTTCTGTCGTAGCAGCCTTTTGCACTTAGCCTGAACTTGTTTATAAGACAGTAAGTTATGGGTGTTCATGTTTCTGTTATATCTCTTCTCTGCCTCCTTCCGCTCCCTGACAGCTCTAGTGCAATCCTGATCCCACCACGGCGGTGACGGTATTTTACCCCGAGCCGAATTTTTTAGGGGAAAGGTTAGCTCTGCACATGAGATGATGGCGCTAATGAGATTCTCCAGACAGTTCTGTACATGGCAGTGATTAGATAGACTCGGGCTTTGAAGATCTGAATTTGGAAAAGCGTTTACTCTATCCTCCAATAAATCAGTGTACTTAGACCAGTCTGCATTAGTTAGGTTGAATTTTAATAAAGGGGGAGGGCTTTTTTCTAAGAAAGTTTTACCTGAAATTGAAATAACTATGGGATAGTGGTCACTGCCATGTGACAGGTCTGAGCAATACCATTGAGCAGCAGTAGCTAAATCAGCTGAACAGAATGTGAGATCCACACAGCTTTTGAGTTGACCAGGCAGAGATCGGCGGGTAGGACAGCCATTATTAAGTATGACATAGTTAAGGTCATCTATGATCTCCACCAAGCCTTCCCCAAACGCATTACACCGTTCAGAGCCCCACCTATAATGATGACTATTGAAGTCACCCATTATAATCACTGGCCCATTGATATTCTGAAATATGCCTTTTATAGTAGGTAAGAGATTTCTATGAGGATGAGCAATATAAATAGATATAAGCGTAATACCTTCAACTTTGCAGGCAACCATATTTATGTCATCAATAGTGGTGGGCAGGGCAACGATAGATTGCGAGACTCTATTATTAATGAGGAGAGCTGACCCTCCATAAGCATCCTGTCTATCGCATCTGAGAGTGTTAAAGTGTGGCACACTAAAGTTAAGACATGGTTTTAGCCAAGTCTCTGTGATAGAGCAAGCAACAGGCGTATATTTATTTAAGAGGAATGTAAGGTCATGCTTCTTATGAAACACGCTCCTCACATTCCATTGAAGAAGTCTCAGCTGTGGAGCCATTTTTAAGATTGAGTAAAAGTTTAATAATTTTTTCAGCAACGTTGGACGGTGAATTAGGGATATTAGGGGACATAAAGGATTTTACAATTTCAATAAACAATTCAATAATTGGTCGTGTTATTAGATTGGAAATGGGTTGGATATTTGTGTTAGAAAGGCCACAGCCATTTGGCTGTGTGGATAAGGGAGTGCTAGTGATGTTATATTGAGCAGTTTTGTCATAGGATGGTGCAAGAGGAGCGTGGGATCTAGGTTTAAGCAAAATTGTTTTACGATGTGATTCGGTGGGTTGACTTCTAGCGGCATTAGCATAGTTGCGGGACGTAGCAGGTATCAGTTTACTTGCTTCTATGTAGGATATGGCTTTTTCAACCATAGATGTCTTAATTGCCCGCTGCCTTCCATACTCCGGACAGTCCTTACTGTTAGCGAAATGACCCCCGGAGCAAAGAATGCAGAAAGCATCTGCCGCAGCAACAAAACAACCGCTACCTGGGTGGTCAAGCCCGCACTTA